TCTTGCAATTGCTGTTTTCTCTCTTCTTTTTTCTTTTCTTGTTTATTTTGTTGTTCGAGCTGCCACTGTTGCAGGTTTTCTTGCAGCTGCTGTTGTCTCTCTTCTTGTTTCTTTTGCTGCTCTTGTATTGCTGCCATCAAGTCTGCTAAACTGTAGTTTGATTTTCCGCCTCTCGTTTCCATTTTTTTTCATATCCCACTTTCTGACACCAATTTGTTACATCTCTGTTTGTTAATTACATTTCCGTAACTTCGTTCCGACGAAACTTTAGCGACACAAGTCCTTACTTAATAAAATTGGTTTACTCTTTCCGAATATAACTTTACGATACATTTAATTTCAACAATCGCGCTAAAACAAACGCTATAACAACAATACGTCTCTCTCTGACTGCAGATCAATTACTCACTGTCTACACACACATATTATTCCGTCACATTGTCACCCTCTTTTATATACCAGACTACCCTATATCTAGTAAATACTAGAGCATTCGCCAAGGTACAGGATAGTTCTAGAAAATAGGTGGTGCCACACCAGTCACCTGACCTTGATGACGCAACATTATGTATCATCACAAAATTTGGCAGACTTTAAATAAACATTACAAGTCTTTTACATCAGATTTTTTAGTGAGGTATCTTTAATAAATGAAAAAAGGTTTATCTGTGAATATAGCAAGTTTTTTGTTTTTTTTACTGTTCCAAGTGCATTGCAATTTTCATGTTATGATTAAAAATACTTTAATTTCTCTCAAAAATCTCAATTTTCATCTGCATAATCTCTAAAACCTCCTAAATGCATTTCAAATGTTTGTTTCAGTAAAACTTTGTATTTTATCTGTTAGTTTCTCTATATTAGGTCTATACAAGATTGGTCAATTTGACTGACCTCTAAATAAATCTCAAAGCAAGAAAAACCTTGTCCCATGAAGATAAAGAAACATCAACCAATGATAATGTGAAACCACTTTATATTGGCTACAACACTAACATTGAGAATATATTAAGGAAGAATAATATACAAATATCTGAACACCATCAAAAATAACCTAACTTCAAATAGAAAAATATCTGAAGATAAAAAAACAAGGTGTTTATATTATACCAAGCCAATCCTTTGAGGAAGGTTACATAGGTGAAACCAGAAGAAATGTTGACACTAGAGTTTCTGAACATAAAATATGGAAACCAAAACAATGCCATTTTTCTTTATATGAGAGATTCTGACCATCATATCGATTGGAAATCAACAAGAATTATATACAAAACAGACAATTACATAAAAAGAACTGTCGAAAGTTGCTTAATCAAAAAACTGCCTGATTTAAACACCTCTCAAGGTTACTTTACACTTAACTTCCTCATTTCCTGTATCCTTAAGGGAATTCCAAGATGAGGGGTCACGTAGACATTTGTTGACCAGTTTTTCATGCCAGTAGACAACATGAGACTGAAGAGGATGCACAGATTAGTTTCTCTAATGTCAGACTTCTGACAGTTTGTTCTGTTTATTGCAGTTTTTCACTAATTGCTGTACACGATATTGTGTTCTTTTATCATTATGTTAATTTAGTTTAGAGTGTGGAATAGCCAAGATGGACCAATAGGTCCCATGTTGTCCCAAAATGTTATGTTATGTTAAGATTAAGAAATGTAGTTTCATGTTACAATATAAAGTCATTCTAGGAAGAAAACAACAGTAATTTAGATTTATTTCGATTCTTTTTTTTTTTTTTTTTGTGGTTACAAGGTTGGAAAAATTGACCAATCTCATATAGAGAGACAAAAAAAATGTTTGAAATGTATTTAGGAGATTTTAGGGATTACACAAAGGAAATTTGAGGTTTTCAAGATGAGAAAAAGTATTTTAAATCTAACATGAAAATTACTTTTCACATGGACAATTCAAACAAATACTCAATATATCCTTGGACAAATCTTTATTTTAGTTTATTAAAAATACTTCACTGAAAATATTATTTTTTTGTATGTGAAAGACTTATAATGTTAACTGAAAGACTGACAAATTTTGTGCATGTATATATATATATACGCTATATTGAAAGTTAGAAGTATTAAATCTATAAAGCCTTTAAATGAGTACAAAGAGGTCAAAATGTGACATGCGCAGTAAAGGATGCATGTGCAGAGGGTTAAAGCCTTTAAATATATTTGAAACTCTTTTGATGTACAACTTTAAATTTTATCTTTTATTTTCCCTACCCTGACTATACACATTCAGATGATTTTAATGACCTAATAAACACCATAAAGAAACACCAAATAAATGTATATTATATTTTTTCATCCAAGAATGACTGAAACTTCTAAAGGGAAACTACAACTGTTTATTGTAAATAGCTTGAAGCTCATAACACTGTTTATACTTAATATATTGTTCTTTTCCTTTGTATGGTGTCTAACTAATAATCAAGTTGTAAATCACTCTGTGAACAAGTAGATCACATTACCATATTAAATAGCATAATGTATAAGTTGCTTGTAAGGATACCTTGTAGAGAATGTTTAATATTTTTGTTTTAATTATCTTACTTAATTTAACCTTAACTGACCAACTAAGTTTCTAATAGTTAAATTTTAGTTACTTTTATAATGATAAATAAAAGACATGCATGGAAAAGAAGTAATATGTTACTTATCTGCGACTTCTTGTTGGTTTTTTGCTGTTGACTGCCAGTGAAATTTAACTCTTTTCTTTATACTAATGGTACTAGTACAATAAATAATTTTTATTTACTTAAATAGTGCACTTAAGAATACAGAATAAAAACTGGCACAAACAAAACAGTGTTCTATAACTACAGTAATTTGTCTGTCTTCGGATTATGGCATAAAATGCTTTAAATATTTCCTTAAGTTTGTCAGTCAGAACACCACAAGAGAAACATTCAAACGGGAAAACAAATTGGCAATAATTTGTACTGAAAACAATGTAATATAATCTGTCATGTGATAGATTAAAACTTTGGTTTTAAATAATATAGTATAAAACATTAGAGATAAGTATTGGAAATTTATGAAAGTGAAGATATGACAGGTGGGTGTGGCAATTAGGTCTGATGTTCTAGACTGTAAACAGGTGGGTGTGGCAATTAGGTCTGATGTTCTAGGCACTGTAAACAGGTGGGTGTGACAATTAGGTCTGATGTTCTAGGCACTGTAAACAGGTGGGTGTGACAATTAGGTCTGATGTTCTAGGCACTGTAAACAGGTGGGTGTGACAAATTAGGTCTGATGTTCTAGACTGTAAACAGGTGGGTGTGGCAATTAGGTCTGATGTTCTAGACACTGTAAACAGGTGGGTGTGGCAATTAGGTCTGATGTTCTAGACACTGTAAACAGGTGGGTGTGACAAGTAGGTCTGATGTTCTGGCTGTAAACAGGTGGGTGTGACAAGTGGGTCTGATGTTCTAGATGCTGTAAAAAAGTGGGTCTGATGTTCTAGACACTGTAAACAGGTGGGTGTGGCAAGTAGGTCTGATATTCTAGATGCTATAAACCAGACCTACTTGCCACACCCACCTATGTTCTAGATGCTGTAAACAGGTGGGTGTGGCAAGTAGGTCTGATGTTCTAGACGCTGTAAACAGGTGGGTGTGGCAAGTAAGTCTGATGTTCTAGAAGCTGTAAACAGGTGGGTGTGATGTTCTAGACACTGTAAACAGGTGGGTGTGGGAAGTAGGTATGATGTTCTAGACGCTTTAAACAACTGGGTCTGATGTTCTAGACACTATAAACAGGTGGGTGTGGCAAGTGGGTCTGATGTTCTAGACACTATAAACAGGTGGGTGTGGCAAGTAGGTCTGATGTTCTAGACACTATAAACAGGTGGGTGTGGCAAGTAGGTCTGATGTTCTAGACACTAAACAGGTGGGTGTGACGTTCTAGACACTGTAAACAGGTGGGTGTGACAAGTGGGTCTCATGTTCTAGATGCTGTAAATAAATAACACTGAAGAACCAAAATATTATTTAAGATTTATATTAATATCTGATCCATTAACTGTGTTTTGATGCTAAGTTTTTCATATAAAGTGAGGATAAGGCAGTTTATTTACATTTTTAAAGTAACTGTTGAAAAAGTTGTGACATTAACTCAGACCTATTTGTAGTGAGAGGGTCAAAAGAACTGGTTCAATTCAAAGTGATTTTTTTCAAGAGTTACTGAACCATATTAGACAGGATTAATTTGAAGTTTATAGATCTGTGTTTGGTTTGTGTTTTGTTATTTCTACTTGGGAATTATTGTGTGAAAGTTTTAATGTGATAAAATGACAACAAAACATTTAAAAATATTTTAAGATTAAGTTTGTCTCAAAATGAATGTGAAGAACAGTACTTGTTTCTATAAAATCAAACATTGAGAAACTTTCCAACTGACCAGTGTTTATCTTTTTTGGTTCTTTGTGTTTAAGAGAATTTACTGCTGTCAACCTTACAAAATCTGTGACTTGAATACTCCCAAATCCACTCCCTTAACCTAGCATGTTGAAGTAGTAGTCTAATCACAAGAATGAAACATAAACTTGATAAATAACATATATAGATAAATATTTAACACATTTGCACAGTAACTATAAAGTATTGATATTAATTAACATGTTAAAATAGACAAATCATTAGAATATTTCATGACAATCAACCACTTCCAGTTAGAAAATATCTAACAGTTAATCCAGAAAGGTAATGACTGAAAGTAACATTGGTTGATGTTACACTGTACTATCATATATCTGCAGGTGATTTTAAGACTTTATCTACTAAAATGACTCTTGAATATGGTACTTTACTAACAGTTTGTTTTCTGATCTAGGTGGAAAAGTTTTTATAAGGTGTTAAACTTAGTTATATATTTAATATTTTTATATTGTGTTGATTATATTGGAACATTAAAATATATTTAGATGTTCTTCAAATAAAGTATTGTATTATATATTTATTATTAACTAATTTGTGACATCATTAATATCTATTTTAGATACAAAGACCAGTGTGAACATCTGTTGTGGAAGTCAGGTTCTTGGTTATCATGTTGTAAAACAGGAAGATCACTTTACAGAAGATGTAAAATCTCCAAACAACAATATTAGTGGAGAAACAAAATTAAGTGGAAGTAACCTAAAAACATCTGATAACCTAAAACAACAAAAGAGGATACATTCTGCAGAGAAACCATATCATTGTACAGTTTGTGGAAAACAGTTTGGAACAAACAGTACCTTAAAAACACATCAAAGAATACATACTGGAGAGAAACCATACAGTTGTACAGTGTGTGAAAAACAGTTTGGAACAAATGGTGATTTAACAAAACATCACAGAATACACACTGGGGAGAAACCTTACAGTTGTACATTGTGTGGAAAACAGTTTGGAACAAAGGGTAAATTAAAAATACATGAAAGAATACACACTGGGGAAAAACCATACCATTGTGCAGATTGTGAGAAACAGTTTGGAACAAAGGGTAATTTAAAAACACATCAAAGAATACACACTGGAGAGAAACCTTACAGTTGTGCAGTTTGTGAAAAACAGTTTGTAACAAACAGTGAATTAAAAATACATGAAAGAATACACACTGGGGAAAAACCTTACAGTTGTGTAGTGTGTGGAAAACTGTTTGGAACAAACAGTAAGTTAAAAACACATCAAAGAATACACACTGGGGAGAAACCTTACAGTTGTACAGTGTGTGGAAAACAGTTTCGTACAAATTTTGCCTTAAAAACACATCAAAGAATACACACTGGTGAGAAATCTTATAGTTGTGGAGTTTGTGGAAAACCATTTAGAACAAATGGTGAATTTAAAACGCATCAAAGAATACATACTGGTGAGAAACCTTACAGTTGTACTGTGTGTGGAAAATACTTTCGTACAAGTAGTGCCTCAAAGAGACATCAAAGAATACACACTGGGGAGTATCCTTATAGTTGTATAGTATGCGAACAACAGTTTGGATCAAACGGTGAATTAAAAATACATCAAAGAATACACTCCGGGAAGAAACCTTACAGTTGTTCAGTGTGTGAAAAACAGTTTGGAACAAACAGTAAATTAAAAAGACATCAAAGGATACACACTGGGGAGAAACCTAACAGGTGTGCAAATTAGAACAAACAGTGGATTTAAAATACATCAAAGAATTCATACTGTTGAGTAACTTTACAGTTGTGTAGTTTGGGCTGAACAATTTATATCAAGCTGCAAGTTAAAAAAACGTCAAAGAATACACACTGGAGACAAACCTTTCAGTTTTACTGATTGTGGAAAATAATTTGAAACAAAGACTGACTTAACAAGACATAAAAAAAGACACACTAGTGAGAAGCCTTACCATCGTACAGTGTGTGGAAAACAGTTTGGAACGAAGGGTAAATTAAAAATACATGTAAGATTTACACACTGGGGAGAAACGTCACAGTTATGAAGCTTGTGGAATAGATTTTAGAACTAACAGTTAAAAAATACATCAAATAACACAAACTAGAACAAGCCTCAACAAATATTTTCAGATCTGGGAGCCAGCCCAGAAACTCAGGATCCACATTTTTTCAAAATATTTTTTATGCCATTACATTTCTTTACAAAAATTTACATGTTTTGGAGAAATTGTCACTTGGAAATTAATTTTGTTTTCAAAAGTTTAGGTGTTGCATGATAGCCAGGGTTTTCTCATGCAGCATCTGGCATGCTTTCAAATCGTAAATCAGTTGGTTCAAGTTTAGCCTTGCCTCTTTTATTTTTAGCTGTTAAGAGAGGAATACAAAATATTTGTAGCTTGGTTGACTTTATTTGATTAGAAACACAGTATACAAAAACACACAAAATACACATTAAGATTTCATTCAACTTCAGTTGTCCTCCAGTTTTCTATGTTGCACAGCAGGCATCCATTAGCCACAGAAATTGCATTCACACCCTATCAACACATGTGGAAAATAAGTCAAAAATTATCAGTAGAGAAGAGAACAATGTGTAACAAGGTGACACCCCAACACAACCTGAACAATCTGTGTCTATAGCAGAAAAAGTGCTGAAATTTAGGAACTATTTACATCTATGTTAGCAATTACATTCAACTAAAATGAGAAATTATTGTAGGAAAAAAGTGGAATTTTTGTAACTTACGAAATTTCAAAAAATCAAGTGTGAATGACCTACACTTGGCTTTTTTAATTATGATGACTTTTATAACTTTTCATAATAATACGATTAAACGACAGTAAAAGATTGTAATTTAAAACAAGGAACTTAAATATATTGAAACATTTTATTTAGATTAAACAATGGTCTAACTAGTGAGATATACTAGTGCCTAGATTATCTGCGATTTTTAACTTTCTCCATACCAGTGTGGATAATCGAGACACTAGTGTATATTTATTTACTTTTACAGTGATCAGATGATATCAAGAACCACTTGATAGTATTGCATGGACTAACTGCCTTTGGTCTTGTTTGAGTTTAAACATGTGCACTGATTGATTGAATTGAGAGAAAGAAGAAAAACAAAATGGTGCAAAATTAGTAATGTGTTGTGCAACTACAACACTATATTCCTGAAAAAAATGTGAAGAAATATTGATTCAAATCTTAGAAACAAAGTTCAGTTGATGTGAACATGGTTTCGACTTCCAAGAGTCCAGAACTGTTCTAGAGTTGAGTTCTATTTAGTGAATGAATGAAATGAAAGAAAATACTAGGTGCCATGATGAAATTTTTAGTCACTTGGGTTTTGTCTAGGCCTACACGAGAGAGAAATCTTACAGTTGTATGTTGTGTGCAGAACAGTTTGCATCAACGTGTAGTTTACAAAAACATTTGTATAAGCTCTGGTTTTGATACATGTGGTTGGCACAGCACAGGTAGCCTATTGTTTAGCTTTGTAACATGCTGTATAACATTAAAAGTTGTTTTAATCACAAAATTTAACTATACCCTGAAATATTAAAAACTGATTAAAATATTTAGCAAGCTTGCCCTTAATCTCCTTCAAATTAACAGCATCCACCACATTTGAAGGTAACATTTTCCAAAGTCCAATCACCCTTTTAGTTGAAGATTACTCTGATGAAATTTATATTCGTGTTTCCTAGTCTTATCATTAAATAGAAAGAAAAGATGATGCATCAACCCTATCAATTGCTTTAACAATCTTATACATTTTATAGTTTGTGGAAAACAACTGAAAACAAACAATTAATTGAAAAGACATCAAAGAAAACATGCTGGTGTGAAACCTTACAATTGTTTAGTTTGTGAAAAACAATTTGGATCGAGCAGTTAATTGTTAAGACGTAAAATAAACATGATGAGAAACCTTGCATTTGTTCAATTGATAGAGAACATACTGGTGAGAAACCTAAGAATTTTTCAACTTGTGGAAAACAATTTGGATCAAACAATAGCTTTATTGTTAAGATTATATTCAATGTTTTTTATTACTTATGTACCACACTGATTAACGTAATGAACATTTTATGTATTAACTACACGGTCACAATTCAAATGAGAATCTACAAGCAACCAAAACTACTTGGTCATTTAAAACTTGTAACATAATAATTCTATAACTATTCAGATATGTAATTGAATAAAGAAGACTACAACAAACAAAATTCTTGAACAGGATAAGAAATCCAAACACCATTACTCTTCAAGTAGTTAGTATCTTGATAAACATAACTGTAAAAAAAACAAAACTAATCAATG